CTCCGTGTGTACACGCCGCCAAGCGAGTGTTTCTGTGCAACTCGAACTTCATTACGCCTTAATGGCACTAGGGAGCTTTTACACGGTATAGTGTACAGATACCGGCTGCAATTTCGATCTTCTACGCATGCGTAGATACACAAAAGTAGTGTTTTTTTGCACGACGAACTATTACAGTAATGACAACTATCTATCTTATACGCATGTGTGGTTCGAGTTTCGTATCATTTTCGTGCATCTGGGCATGCGCAGAAGATAGAGGTTGCAGTCGGTTGCTGTACGTTAACTCCCAAAACAACCCAGGTGATGGGCACCTACACATGCCCAGAAGGTCGATAGAGCAGTCGATTGCTATAACGCTTCGCCGTGCAAAAACTCACTAACGTGGCTCTTTTTTCAGAGGTGCATTCGGTATGGTACGTTTTGCGCATGCGCGTTGCTCTGGCGCAACACCAGTAACGAAGCCTACAACGGTGCCTATCTCAATGCCGTTAGTTGGCTCGTGACGTGGACGGTCGTTACGTCATTTTACTTGCGAATAAGGGAAATATGCCAGAACGTATCGTTTCAGAGGAAATTTTATCCTGAACCTAAAATAATGTGGGTGTGCGTATCTGGTAATATGCGTGGCATGCTTATCTGAAGTTGTTCATTTTTTTGATGACTTTTTAAATTGATGCTTCAGTTGTCTTCAATCTTTGAAGCTGGATAATCTGTTTACAAAAATCTGTGTAGGATGAACGATAATACTCATGTGCTCATTCTTGTCTTACAGCCCTGTTAGAATTAAATAGAACTGATATGTTCTCAACAATACTTCTAGAGTTGTTAAAAAGTAATTATTGAAAACGTACTGATTAAGCAATTAACAGACAATAAAAGAAAGTGAGAGAAGTGGAAATAATAGGAAAACATTAACTCATTTGATAGTTTTTCTTTGCTGGCCACGTTGTAGACTCCAACCTCCCTTCTTGTTTTATTCATGTAATCTCCTCGGTGACCAGTTATTGAAGATTTCTTAAATTGCCTTTGTAAAAGCTATATAAATTAGAATGGTTTGCATGTTTTCCTCATGTAATTAGGGGTTTCTTGAAACGTTTGGAATCTGCATGCAAGGTGTCTTTGTTTCGTAATAAATATTTTTTGCCCGACAATCCACTTTTATTAGTGACTTGTTTATAAGTGGTAAGACGATTGACGAAGAAAACGTAATATACCTGCAAAGAAATTTCGCAAGTTCGAATACGTTTTATATCTTCATCTATATACTTATTATGAATATTATGTTCTGTATCTTTCTCGCTTTTTCTAGTGATCAGAACTTTCACCGTTCTGAGCGTTGCCTTTTGGCGAGTCCAACCTTGCAAGAAATTGCTTACTTCGAACCTATTCTCCATTCTCAATAGTCATTAGATATTATGTCAAACTTTGCGCATGTTTTTTAACATTTATTTTACTGTTCACTACGTCAACTTTGTAATATAATGAACCTTTGAATATAATGATACGTCGAGTTGTCAGCTCATTCACGCAATAACAATGATTCGATATCTTTCATTAACATCGAATAAGTGGAGCTGTTTCCACATTAGAACTCTAGTTCAATTTAATAAGATGATTGTGAGGTATGTTGCTCTTCAGTAAAATTTAATTTTTATGAGTTAGGTGTTTATTCACCCGGGTCAAAAGTACAGCATCGGTTGTACACGGTTGCTTAGGTGACGGCACAACGCCGGACCTAGCGAGTCAGAGTCCCATGTCACTATCGCCAGTCAGAATATCATATTATTGCATTAAGTAGCATATTGAATATTGTATATCGTTACGCAAAATGAAGTTTGATAACCTAAAAACAGCTCTTGAAGTGTCTGCATTCCATTTTGTTTGTTCAACAAAATTATTTGTCTTTTACGACCTACGCATGTCTACGCACGCTAATTTTCGTTTTGCTTATAGTGCTTATTTTTATAAATATAACACAATATGCATATAATACAATATATCGCAAATGAAAAAATATGTTTATTGTTTAAAATAATTCTACAGTACTGAGGTGTGCAGATTTGTTGATAAACTCGTATTCAAGAGAACTAGTATTTGAAAGTAAGTCGAAAGGAATAAGCAGATTAATAACGATGAAAAATAGTGTTAGATAAACATTGATACCTAACCACAGATTGAAAAAGTACTTCGATCTGAAAGAAACACTAAATATTGTGATGACAAAGCAAAATACCCTGTTACGTGACGCCTAAGTCGATGGGCTACATTGCTGCCATTTCTTCAAACAGATCGAGAACCTTTCTACGTCGGCCGAATAAATTGAAATGCTCAAAATTATGAACTAAAAGTGCCTCTACTACATCACACCGTTAGGAGTAAATTGGAAAATAAAATCAATGTATCATGTATTTATCATCATGCCATGTGCAATGTGCAAAGTAAATAACTTGTACAAACAAGTATACAGTTGGTAAAAATGTTACAGTGAGAAACAGAAAAACAACGATGATCTTCTTTTGAAGAAGGCGACTATGGTTACAGCAACAATCCAACCATAATTTAGACATTTATGATGAACCCACATAAAATATAAATGTAATTATTTTATAAGATATTTTCTAATCTTTATTGTAATGTGAAGAAATTAATAGTTGGGCCAACCGGCAATTGAAATACTATCAGAAAAATTATATAAACAATTAAAATACAGTCATTCTCCTTTTGAAATTCATAATTGTGGAATCACCTTCGGTGGATGAGGAGGAGAAGAGCTAAAATCTCAAGATTAATCTCCATGCGTCTGTTCACCCTTCTGAAAGCAAATATAATGTAAATTTTACTCTCAGACTCAAGTTCACAAATGATGGATTTATTGCAATGTCTGAATATTCTTCTTAAGATGAGGGCTGGTTGAAAAGAATGTGTCTTGCATGTGAATGCCTAATAATACTTGCACTTGCATAATAAGTGTACTAAACATACGTATAGTTATTATACAACCTTAATATACCACACCTGATCACTATTTATTTTCTGAAGTTTTATCGAATAAAACTTTTTTGTTTTAATTATCTCCATTACGCAGTCCTTGCAAGTAACAGAACTATTTTTATAGTGTTAAGTTATATTTCTAATCCGAACTCAATATCGATGAAGTGTATAAAATTGACTACTTTTGTATTTTTATTTTGTAGTTTTAAATTGCATGTAATTTGTATGTTCACACCTTGTAATTCTGGTCTGGTAGTCAATGACATCTCTAACGTGTTAAATCATTTCATAATTGGAATTTTATTATTGGAATATCAGGTATTTATAAATTTGGCCACCGAATAGATAAATAGCTCAAGAGAACGGGGTCATAATTGTTATATTTGCTCATCCCCGTTCTTATTTTTCTCTATCTTTTCCTCCGTTTGCTCTTCTTTTATTTCTTCTCCCCCTTGCCCTTCTTATCTGTGATCTACTTCATGTCCGTCTCGCTCTTCTTTCTTTTCTTGCCCTTCTTTCTTTTCTTCCCCTTCTTCTTTCTTTTCCTCCCCTTCTTCTTTCTTTTTTCGCATTTCATTACATCTTTTCTTCTCCTCTTCATCGTTCTTCTTATGCTTCTCTCTTTTATTTTTCTTCGTGATGGCCTTTTTTTTCTTTTGCTCTGTTTTCAGATAATTAGACCGTTTTCAAACTTTAGTCTGACATCTGCCTATTCACAGTAATGCCGGTCTTTTCCCATGTCATAATTTACCAGTAATCTCAAATGCGCATGGAGTCCAGTAACCCTCCCCTCCCCTCCCATCCCCTCCCCACACTTCGCCCTCTTTCAACATCCTCTCTCCTCGTCGCTCAAGTTAGGCACGACCCACGGCGCTTTGGCATCCGACGACAGTTTTCAGTTGTTCTACGACCAGGCTCTTGGCTTGAATTAGTGGCCGTTCAAATCCTGTTTATGGGCAATGAAAATATTAGTTGCCCATTATTGGTTCATTATCTGACTCTCGGTAGAGATATAATGGGGAGTGAGGTGTGAAGTGGTAGGGATCGTCTCGTGTTATTTCACGTTCCGTCCCGGTATCCGTCAGCAACTGATTCTAGAGGAAGTCATGGGCTCAACAATCAACGGTGAAGTGAACATATATAATTCTCATCGAAGCAATGATATCGCCCAGATATGTTACTGATAATGAAAACTCGTCTTTGAGGCTCTAAGTAAGGCCTTAGCAAATAGTTAACTATTCATGTTTTGCTTCACTCAATCAATATTTGCCTACAGACTCGTAACTACAATTTACCCTGCAGCAAATACATTGAGCGTGGGGTGTGCCTGGTGAGACATAGGAGAGCCTTCTCTCACTAGCCGTCTGTCCTCCCGCACCCGCCACATCGAGTTGTCGATTTGAAGGGCGAGAGCGGAAGGGGCTATCTAATGGTCGACGGATGCCAAGCAACTGGCGCCCTATGCGCGTGGTGCAGTCCTTACCCGAAGCTGCACTGTTAACAAACGCATAGCGGCATCGTATGGATAGGGGTAAAGTTGCAACTGGCTGACCAACAGAAAACAAACCCTCTTCAATGCGTCACTATAGCATAGGAAATTAACCGCCGGGGATAGGGCACGTCCTAGGCCTTAAAACCGAATTCTGTTTCATATGCCATACTTTACAAAATGAGACCTGTTTGGACGTCCTTTTACAGAGGAAGGTGCTCCCACTCCATAGAAAGCGTTGTCGCAAATATTTGGAGTTTTTTCCATTTTTCGAACGATTTAATAAATGCAGAATGCTCGCACAGGTCCAGTTAGAACTCAAATTTGTGTATCATTCATTAATACTTTTCTGAAGAATGAAATTTGTTCAGAATGGTCTTTTCTTTATAAAAATTTCCTTGTGCTATTTAATTTATCCTTATAATGAACATATGTATCACAATTCTTAGTTTCTTCCCACTTTCCCCTAGACCGTTTGTATTAGAAAACTCTTATTCAGTGAGTAGCATCTGTTCCAGATGAACAAGGAAACTGTAATATAACACGAAAATTGCTGTCATTAGTCTTCGTAGCATTAAAATGTAGTCTGTTGTCAGAAATATTTAAATTTTTCAGCAACCATACAAAGCCAACGGGGTATATTAGAATAAATTAAATGTTGTTTTCGACGTTGTACGTCAATGCGATATGTTTAAAAACATGGGACAGACATCACAAAAGTTACAGTTCTGACACACACACAGGCAACTGGTCACTTCATATAACGGTCATAACTGATTGAGTATTTTGTGTCTCGGGACGCTTCAACAGCTAAGGACGTTAGTTCCGTAAGAGTGGCGCATGCTATGTCGTGGGAGTAGGTGTTCCTTCCCCATTAGAGGTGTCCTCCGGAAGCAACGAACAACCAACGCTTGCGAGACTTTCCCCTCGAGACACATCCGTGGTATTGAAATGCACGTAACTGTAACTGTGCATTTATGTAAGTGGAGAAAACGGGAGACAAAGATGAGGAAAGAAAAATTGCACTCGCTCAGTGCCCCGTTTATTAGGATACTGTTGAAGCATTCGCCTTGTAATGAACGGAGAAATTGCGAAAAACTACCGATTAGACCAGTCGTCCACAAGAATTCTCCTCTAGACATAGACAACTAGTCCTAGCTATCTAGCTGGTGTCGAAAATCCGCCTCCTTCAGGATCTCGCTGAAGTAGCAAGTAATTGCTGTGAACCA